TCTTCCAGTTCAAAGGGATCGTCACCCCGTTCCAAATTTGCAAAGGGGTCTACAAATGAAAACAAGGTTGAAAACCCCTGTCTTAGGGTGATCTCTTTTATCAGACCGACTGGATAGTTGGGGTAGAGTTAACCATGACAGCATCCGTCAGCATCAGGTCTGACCAGAACTAGCCAAGCCCACCATGGTAAACCCGAGTTGTAGGAGGGGGTGAGAGAAATCCCTAGGGGTAGAAGACAAGCAATTAGCAGAAGACAAGAAGCTGATTACTGGGAGATCAAGGCCCATCAAGAGGGAGGAGGCTCCTTCTCCCCTTCCTTTCCTGTGTGGGGAGACTTCAGGAGGCAGGTAGATTGCAGTGGGTGTGCTATTAATGCGATATAGGTTTACTGCGCAGTAAAATACTGTGCAGTAAGCCTTCCCTGGGAGTGTGTCTACACATGCACCCTGTTGGGAGCAAATCTGCTCCCAATGGGAGCAGCCTGGTACAGGCCTGCTCCTGCCCTGCTCCGCCCCCCTGGAGCAGCCAGGGGGAGCTCTCGGCTCCCCTGGGGTGCTAGCCTAGGGGCTGGCGGGGGGCATGGGGGCTGGTCCTGATGCACACGGGGTCGGGAGAGCTCTGCCAGCTGCAGCAGCAACTGTCTTTTGGCCCCCGTGCGCATCGGGAGGGGTCCGGATGTGCACAGGGCTGGGAGACAGCTGCTGCTGCAGCCGACAAAGCTCTCCTGGCCCCGTGACCTTTGGGGGATACAGCTCCCAGCGCACCCTGTCCTGGCAGATGTCCCAGGAGTGGGACAGGTCCCAGCCAGTCAAGTGGGACCGCTGCTGGTGAGCCCCCAGCAGAGTGGGGAAGCAGAGGGCTCCCCAGTCCCAGTGCTGCTTGGCTCCCGGCTCCTGTGGGCAGCCACGAATTGGGAAGCAGTGGGGGCAAGAGTGGCCCTGTCCCGGCACTGATTGGCTCCCGGCTCCTGTGGGGAGCTGGGACCTGAGCAGCACCAAGACTGGGGACAGAGAAGTCCCCTGTGGCTCCCCTCCTGGCATGGCTGACTGGGAGCAAATTTGCTCTTGGCCAGCATCTACACAAGCGCTACCGCACAGGAATTACTGTGCAGTTAATCTACTACCTGTGCTGACACTGCACAGTAGACTAATTTACTGAGCAGCAAATGCCATGCATGTGTAGACGGTGACACCTTACTGTGCAGTAGTTTAGTCTACTGCGCAGTAAAGCATCTTGTGTAGATGCACCCAGTGTGTCTTAAAAGCTCCAATCCAGGAGCATTGGGAACTGCTCAGCTCCTCCGAGCCAGCCTTTCTCCTGCCCATGTTGGGGGAGTAGTGGGGGCAACACGAGAGGCCAGAACTCACTGCTTCTCTGGCTCGGGAGGATGTGCACTGAAACGTGCCCCGACCGGTGATCTCACTGACATCCGCTGGGCTCGTCGCAGCTCGTGCGTTGACCCAGGGGAGGTAATGAGAGGGGACCCCCGCGTGGAGAGCATCCCTTTCTCATCGGAGTGGCTCTCAGCAGCCGCTCTGCTGGCACGAACCGTGGGGAACCCGAAGCAGACTAGGTGCTTTAGGGGTGAGGAGCACGGTGCATGTGGCGAGGAGCACGGTGCAAGCTGCATGTGGTGTTGTGCTGAGC